AAAAAACCAGCCCTGCATTATCTCTTGATCATTGACGTTTTCTGTCTTAGCCTATGCTGGCCTTAACCTATGTCTCAAAGATGCCTGCTTCTGTTATTTAATTAGTATTTCTGGTTGCAGTGATATTTTATTTCTGATTTATATTGTTTGTTTGTTTGTTTGTTTTAAAGGGAAGACAAAAGGTGAAAGGAAAGTTTGATGATTCTGATCTCTGCCAGGTGACAAACTGGCCAAGAACAAATCCAGAAGTGACGCCAAGGCTGGGGCACGGGTAGAACATACGACGGATTAAGCAGTTGATGCCTGCACAAATAAAGACCTTGTCTGTGCTCCAGGGAGGCAGGGACGGGCACCGACCCGCGCGGGGCGGCGAGCGGGGGCCAGGGGCCGGTTCGACGGCAGGAACGCCCCGCCCCGGCCCCGCAGCGCTGCCCCTCGGGGCGGACCCGCCGGGCCCCGCAGCGCGGGCAGCGCCGGCCGCGGGGCGCGGAGCGAGCGCAGCAGAGCGGGGCGAGGCGCCCGAGGGACGGCATGGTGCCGCCGCCCGTCCCCGCGGCGTCCGGTCCGCTGGCCCTGCTGGACCCCACAGGTGAGCCCGGCACCTGCCCCACCGAGCGCGGAGCCCTGGGGACACAGCGGCGGGAGAGGGGGAGCCGGCGGCGGGGACTGGACGGCCGGGCTTTCCCCGGGGGCAGCACCGCTGCCTCTGCGCTTTAGTTACGCGCTGTGCCCCGGGATTTTCAGCCTGAGGGTGCCGGCGGTGCGCGCTGCCGCTCATCCTCTCGCTCGCGGAGCTGTTTAAAAATACCGGTCCTTCTTTAGAGCTTTCGGCTGCCCATAATGAACCCTTGCGTTGGAGGTTTAACATTGGATAGTACTGGACGCGGATAGGAAAGTAATGTAAGAGACATCCTGCTGTGCTCGATGGCCGTGCTGGAGCAGGTGGAGGTGCCCACAGGTGTGGAGCGGGCTGGGGACAGGTGTTGGATTACTTTCCTTCCTCCTCTTTTCTCCTTGCTGAGTGGTGCACTGGTGGTGTGCTGCTTGTGTTTACAGTATTACATCCTGAAATACAAACACACAGGCAAAAGAAAGGTCAAGTATTTCATTATCCCAGCAGCATTCCTTGAAGTCCAGAAAATACAAAACTTACTGCTAAGGATTTCTCGATGTAGTGTTTGAAAGGATAAGCAGAGACTTTGCTGTGCACTCAAGGATCTTAACAGCTCGATAAAAAGTGTGTCAGATCTTAATTTTTGTCTGAAACTTGGAAGAAAAATTATGTTGGTGTTGAAAAGGTGGCACTGGAAGAAGTGTTATAACTTAAAAATGTTTTCAGGTAATCATCTGAAAAAGAAGTATCTGCATGCTAGCTTTAAATTAGTGCGTAGCTGCTCATTAAATTATTTATTGGTGAAACAATTGCTGCCAAGCAGTGAAGTCATAGTGATACTGCATGATATCGCTTACTATAGCTATTCTATGTAGTATAGTAGGATTTGTGGGATTGCTGTCTTGTTTTGTTTGGTTTGCTTTTTTTGTAATTGAATTGTAAGGTGTTACCCGTGGTCTTGAATATATAACACACTCATGGAATCTTACTTGACAAATTAACATTAAAGGTAAAAGATGGGCCTGATAAAAGCTGCTGTCTTGTGGCTTGAAACAAATGCTGTTGCCTCTGGTTTAATTAGTTCAGCACTCTGGACAAGTCAAGCATATAATCAGAAAAGAGAAAGTAATCACCAACATCAGGTGTGAGTATCTCTTTTAAGCATCTCAATCCGTCACACTGAATTTTGGGAGGCAGTGTAGGATTAATGTAGTTTCACTGGCATAAAACAATTTTGAAAATATACAATGAAAACCATAGCTGATAGAGAGATGGCACTGAAGTGAGCACTGCAGTAATTAAAAATTATGAATTTAGCTCCAAAGATCTTCTCTTTAATATTTTCTCAATAGCAGCAAAGCAGTGGATACCTTTGATACTATAGTCTGTCTATGGTGATGTTCCACTTATTATGTTATCTTAATATATATGCTTAATGTCACAATTTCTAGTAGTATTAATTATGTAATAAAAACGCACTATTTTTTTCTGTTACAAAAGTTCCCTCCTTTTTCTCATAGTAAGATGCTAATATACATTGGGCCAGGGCGTTATTTGAAATAAGTGTTTCCATTTAGATCACCTTCACTAGATCAGAGAAGAAGGTATGAAATGATGTAGTGCTAATATCCAGCAAATGTGATTGTGATCCCAGCAAACTGCTACATCCTACAGCAATTCTTTCCTTGCCAAAAATATTTCCAAACTTTTTAACAGATTTTATGATGTCTGAAGATAGACTTTTAGAAGGAGTAGTGAAGTTAGCAAAGGATAGTTGCCTTAATCTAAATGTAGACTTTTTTTCTAGTTTGGTTGCAAATCGTATGCAAGTTTTCCAAGATGGAAAGATGCTGTTTCACTCTATTCTTTCTTTCCCTTGACCACGGGACACATTCTGTACCATGGACATGTTGCATCATTAATTAGTTCATTCTCTTTTTAAACTCACTCTTTGCTTTGTTCAAATCCAGACCCTACCATTCATCATTAGATCTACCACTTCGCAATCTGATAGATACCCTCCCCACAAAACCACTCATATTTCCATGGTCTTCGTACAAATTGAATTTAGCCCCCAACCACTGCAGACAGAGCACTGTAAATATAATTTTGTTTTCTGTAGCTGATGAATGGACAGAAGTCTTTTTCTGAGTGCAGAGGAGCATGGTCTTTAGCAGGCACTTTTTTTGTTTGGTCCCTGGAGGGTGATCTCAGTTTTTCTCCTCACAGGCCTTTCCCTGCCCCAAGCAGGCAGCAGTCTGGTGTCTCTCCTCCTTGTCCTGATGGCATTCTCTCTCCTTCCATTGTGGTAGCTGGGCTGAATGGCTCCAGCAGGTACTTTGCCTGACAGACGTTTTACAAGCAAAGAAGAGCGTGTTTCAGGAGCTGATCCTTTTCATGTGCAGTTTAGGTCTATGCCAGACGGAGCACAAGCCAGTGATGTGGAAGCACCGTTACCTCTCTAATTTTTCTGTAGTGGCCATTGCTGCAGTATCAAAACTCTGTTAATACTTTACTGGTCAACACTGCTGAAGAATATTGCCAATAGAAAGTAATAACATGATCACACCCACTACTGACCCCAGCCTCAAGCTAATGCTAATAGGATATGACAAGAAAATTTCTTTCTACAAGCTTGATTTTTGGTATGCTAAATATAAGAATTTTAAGTTATAACTAAATTGCATTAAGGTCCAGACTGAGTTTATAATATTCTTACCGAATCATTGTTAAAGAAGTTAAAGGTAATAAATGTCCAAATTATTCTGAGAGTCTTATCAGTATTAAAAAATTGGAAAGTGAATAGCCTACATTAACTGTTTCCTGCACCCCAGGAACACTGGTGTTGGAAGAAAATTCAGCCTACAGCAACATTTCCTCCACTCTTAATTTAACTGCTGTTCTTGTGTATGGCCAGCCTTTGGTCCAAGCCTTGCCACAGAGAGTGTCAGGGAAGAAGGCTGGGCCAGGCACACTGTCTGAGCTGTGGACAGGACTTTTGAGGGAAAAGTCTGGCATTTGATCTTGGCTGGCAGGTACATTAAAAACAGATCCAAATAAATGTCATGGCAACCGCTACAAACAGCAGTAAACAAAGGCTCAAAAAATCTTGGGAGCCAACATGACTGAAATTGCAGAAGGAAGCTAATAGTAAGAACTCTTTGCAGCTGTAGTTTTTTTCATCCAGAGATATTATGTTGCTTTACAACTATTACATAGCATATTACCAATATGCTGGTGCCTTATATGCATGTCATTATATACATTTGGATAGCTAGAGCAAAGTTTTTTTGTTGTGACTAAGGAAAGCCAAACAGCTAGGGTAGAGACCAATTTAGGTCTGAGTTCTACCCATCTTCTCTGAGCATGTGGAAGTCTTCGAGAACATGTCCTTGGATGTGCCAGCTTCTGCTCCAGAAGGGGCCTTTTGTGCTCCTTACCTTTAAGTCATCTCTCCTAAGGGTGGAGTTCATAGCTAGCAACATGTAGTTACCAGTTTCCAAACTGGACTATGAAAAAGAGAAGATCTGATTGGATATTTGCCTCTGTTTTGAGGTGCAGGTGGTAATAGATCAATGACTGTGAGGATTGAAGGGTATCACATGTGTAAATTCCTTCTAGCATGTTTAAATTTCAAAGTCAAAATGTAGTTCAGCCCAAGAAATGTCCCTACAAATTACGACATCCTTTTCTGTTCTATCTCACTAAATCCGCATCCGATTTACTCCAATAATGAGTAAGAGCATGCTTTTCCTAAGACATTTCCCAGCAAACTCACTCTGGGCAATCAAACTCATGTCTTTCATTACTGATAACCAGAACTCAGGAGGGCAAGTTGGACCCATAGTTTATCTCCATACAATCTGATCAACCTTTGCTGGTACAGATGTTACTTTGAGGAATTGTGGAGGCTTGGCTCCTCAGGACTTTCCATAACAGCATTCAGTGGTTTCAAAAATACTTGGCTGAGTAGCATTTGCCCCACTGGCTTTAGGGAGATTTGTGCTCCTGCTTCACTTTAAATTAAACTTTGTCTACATTGTAGCTGCAGTTTTGTAACAGTGCATATGAGCACAGATATCCAACCCACTTTCAGCGTAGCTGTTGTGACTATCATAAAACTGTAGTATCATAGGAAAATACAGGTGGGAAGGTACCTCAGGAAGTTGCTATTCCAATGTCCTGCTCAGAGCAGGGTTAACTATAAGGTCGGGCCAGATTGCTCAGTGCTTTTTTTAGTTAAGTCTTGAAAACCTCCAAAGATGGAAACAGCACAACTTCTTTGGGCAACTTGTTCCAATGTTTGACTGTCCTAGTGTTGAATTTTTTTTTCCTTAAACCCAGTCTGAAACACTTTTTTGTATTTCAGTTTGTCTGCTGTCTTTTCTCCTCCTGCTGTGCACCATTATGAAAAGCCTGGGTCGGTTCTCTTGACAACAGCTCACAGGCACTGGAAAACTACTACTAGCCCTGCCAAAAGTCATCTCATCTCCAGGCTCAGCAAGCTCCATTCCCTCAGTCTCTTCTCATACAACGAATGAACCAGCCCCTGATCTCCTTTGCAGTCCTATGTGGAATTCACTGCAGTTAGTTAATGTATTTCCTGTACTGGGGGCCCCAAAATGGGTATAATATTATGTGGTCTAAAAAGGGCTGAATAGATAGGTGTAGTTGCTCCTCTGATGTACTAATGCTCCTTTTAATACAGCTCAGAATTCTGTTGCTAAGGCACACTGCTGCTTCATGTTCATCTCATCATCTGCCAATACCCCCCCCCGGTCCTTTTCAGCAGAGCTGCTTCGTAGCCTGGCAGTCTCTTACCTGTATCACTGCAAGGAACTGTTGCTTCCTTTGCCCAGGACTTTGCATCTGTCTGTTGGATCTTTAAGGCTTCTGCTGGCCCATTTTTCCATCCTGCCTAGATCCCTTTGAATGGGAATGTTGCCCTCAGTTTTTGACTGGCCCCCCAGTTTTGTGTCACCTGCGAGCTTGATAAGTAGGTATGCTACCCCTTTCTTTGGGACATCGATGAATACATTAAATGGGACAGATCCCAAGACAGACTCACATGGTACTGCACTTGTTACTGGCCTCCAGGTAGAGTACAATTAATTTACCACTCTCTATGAACCCAACAATACAGCTAATTTTTTAACCATCTGCTTGTCCAGCCATCCAAGCCATGGCACCTTAGCTGGGTTATGTGCGTGTTGGGAAATACCATACTAAAAGCCTTGCTAGAATTAAGGAAAAAGACACTCACTGCTCCACAAGTCCAACCTTCTTGCCATAGCAGGCACCTATGCTGTTGCCAGTTGTCTTTTCCTTAAGTGGCCAGAAATGTCTTGCAAAGGATTTACTCCATATTTTCGGTCCCAGCATCACAGGAACTAAAGTGAGGTTGGTTGGTTGATTTGTAATTCCCTGAATCATCATTTTGGTCTTTTTAAAAACAGGTGGAGCATTTGACTTTCTTCATTTATTGGAGATTCCCTAATCTCCATGACTTTTCAAAGTTTAGATGGAGTATGGCAAGGGCATTCAGATATTATTTACAATCTGGTAGATATATTGAATGAATCATTTTAGTTTGTGGGAAGCGGAGTTAACTTGTGGAGTGTCTCATCTGAAGTCTGCTTTTCCCTCTTGGCCATGTGAGATGGCTTCATTGAAAGAACTGCCTTCAACCCTATACACATGGGGAAGAATTGATTGCTAATGAAGAACCTCTCTGCTTCCGTGTCCCCAGTGACCCTTCATGGATTAACAGGAAATTGCCAGAGGCAGACAGCAGGGACACAGACTGGAGAAGAGGTGTTTGAAGAGTCTTATGAATTATTTCTTGATCTTTAGCAGGACAGCTTTGTACATGCAGGTGAAAGACACTTGTGTAAGCTCAGTAGATGATATTTGTCTTCAGAAAAGTTGCATGAATTTCATACTAAAAGATTGGACTCAATTTGTCTGGTTGCTCTACTAGAAAAATGTCAGCAAACACAGCTCTTTATTATAAATGCATTTTTTTACTAATTAAAATTATTTGACTTGATTTGCAGGCATCACTAATGTAGTCTGTCTTCTGAACTCTAAACATTTAACTGAGCTACCTGCTTTTAAATTGGCCTCAAAACTTAAGTGACTCATTGCAAATGGCTTCTGCTTCCTTTTTGACTTTCCTGCATTTCCCCTGCTTTTGCTTACAGCAGCATCCCCAGAGCCTGACCCATGCAAGCTTGCCTTTCCCTCTCACCTGCTGCTCCTTGGTGAGAGCTGCTGCCTCCAGTATGCAGTGAGTGTCACAGCCTCTGCCTTCTCCCGAGGCTGGGTATGCAGGCAGCTTCACGGGCCCATGGAGGGAAAGACATTTGGCCCGGTGCTGTGGCCAGGTTTTGCTCTCTCAGGAGCTCTGCCCTGCCCAGATGCAGTCTATATTAGCATGGCATCACATGGCCCAGTGCTCCAGGGGTGATCCTGCACACTCTTGGTTTGTCTTTCAAAGCAAGAACACCAGAAATGGGGATCACAGTTTGATTCACTTGGGTCTCGTTCATTAGTTAGGATCACGTATGAATGGATGTTTTTAAATCAGTCTAACGTATGTCTGTACTGTGGGATGGGGCCCTGATGTTAATAACCTGTGGCTGCAGCTCAGATATGCCACCACAATAACATGGTTAAGTGCCTTGAAGCAGGCTGAAGGCTGTGAGTGTGCTGGTTTTCACTTTGGTATATCTGAATCCAAATCCTGGTGAGACTGAATGTATTTCACTGAGCAGCTACTGTTTGAGAAGTCTCATATATCATTACCTGATCAACTATATTACAGCTTTGCTTCAGGGATACAGATTGCTTACCCAAGTAAATATGAAAAGCACATTAATTTTCATGATAGCATGCAGAGTTTCTGATAATCTTGTTTAAAATATGCATTTATTTATGTTCTGGCCAGGTAGAGTCAAATTGGTACTTCACATAGTAATCATTTAAGGCCTGCAGGATCTGACTAACCCATGTGAGCAACATTTAATTATAAATGTTACTGAAGACAAGGCATAATTATCGTTGTCAGTGACTTACAGTTCAGCTTAATAAAAACTCATCTCACACCTGTACTGAATGCGTGCACATTAAGCTATGCTGAACTGTAGCTGACTCTGTGGCTTCTAATTCCTTTTGTTTTCTCCCAGAAATTTTCTTAAGTGGGAGTACAACAGTGGGTTAACAATAGAAAAGATTAATAAAAGAAAATCTTCCATTATTTTGTATTTGTTCTGCCATGATTGCAATGAAAAGCTCTCTTTTTTTTTCCCTTTTTTTCCCCTCCCCACTCCCTACAGAACAGTTTGCAAAAAGGAAGAAGACTTCACTTTGGTTCACTGTTGCACTGCTGGTGGTGTCTGTTTTCATACTGACCATAGGTCTGGCAGCTACCACAAGAACAGAAAATGTTACTGTGGGAGGCTACTACCCAGGCATCGTTGTAAGTAAAAAAAAATCTATTTTAGATTATTAGGTACATCCAGGTAAAAAAAGAAAATTAGTCCTGTAGCATTTCACAGGAGAGAGGTGTTCTTTTGTTTTGATCTAGTTCTGGTGTGTGATAGGGTGGCAGGGCAAACTGTTCTTCTGAGGTGTCCCAAAGAGGAGGCTGTTAGGGGGCAGGAGGAGGTCAAGGTTGCACTGCACAGCAGTACGCTGGGCTCAGGGACCTATGTGAACACCTGTGCTGGACTTACCACAGGTCTCCATTAAATGTGGGTGTGTAAATGACTGAACAGTAGGCATGGCATAGACTTAAAAAACCCTTTTAGTATGTTCATGGCAAAAAGAGCCACTCCACTCTTATGTCCATGTGTCAGGAATTCTTCTGGATCTGTTGCAGGGAAAACCCTGTAAATGGGCATGTGGAGGCTTCTCCCTGGAGCCTGCCTAGCATCCTATCGTGCAATCTTGCTGCCAGTCCTCTTGTGCAAGATCCTGTTTCCAAAATCCTTACTCTTGTTTTTGCCTAGGGAACAGACTGCTTTAACACATTCCTACTGTGGGAACAAGGTCTGAGCTCCACCTACTTTACGCTATGGTGCCTTTGTGACTTCTGGGGAGGAGTAGCTCTGACAGCCCCTTACAGTTTCAACCACCATGGCCCTTTCTGATCTCAGAAGAAGGGATCAGTCATATCCAAAAGCACAGAATTCCCTGGAATAAAAAAAAAAAAAAGTTAAATACTTGGACTGAGTTTTAACTAAGAGGAGTACAGGCAGCAAATACAGAAGAGCCCATCTACCTCATTTGGTCTCCCTGAGTCAGCCAAGAGGATGTAAAAGGTGCAGAGTGGAGAAAGAAACTCACATGCTTAGAATTAGACACCCGCTTAGGTATGTGGCTCCACCACTGACAAAATACGTTGTAAAGTACTGTTATTTCTTGTTCTCTATGGAATTAAATGTCCAGAGAAGAAGAATATGTTTCTTTTAATACTGTGCATACATTTTGCATTGCCATTAATAATTTGAGAGTTAGAATTGTTCCTCCTAAACAAGTCCTCTTACATCTTTAGTGTCATGCTGAGAACAGGACTTTCAGAAAGATAATTTTGGATAATGATATATAAAGAGTGGTGTTTTAAAAATAGAACAAAAAGCAGTTCCAAGAATAAGACCTTAAAAGAATGAATTTCTCTTTCATTAACCTAAAATAGATAGATTAATACTGATAAAAGTCTCTTCTTCTTCTTCTTCTTCTTCTATAATTTGAACTAAAATCTTTTAGAAGACCACATTCATTATCTGCATTCATTCCCTAGAAAGAAGTTTCATTTTTAAACTGTTGTCTTTAACAAGTGTAATAAATAATAAACCCACCCATGTGCACAAAACAGGTTATTTCAGCATTTATTTTCTTTTAGGAATAATGCAATGTCTATTCAGTCATCTGAAAAATATCATCTGCTCAATTTTTTTTTTCTAAATCTTAGAGTCTTTAGGGACCAAGTAGAATAGCAAGAATTCATTAGAACACTTTGAAAATAAAACCTTTTATTAATAATTTTCCCTCTCAAAATATTACTGGAGCTAAATAATTTGCATAAAATTCAGAATTCTTTTTGTGCACATATGATGGATATTTGAAGTAAATGAGAAAGAGTGATGGGTAATTTTTACTATAAATGTCATCAAATACTAAATATCACAAACATTTAGCAAGAGTTAAAGGTTCTATGCAAATCTTACATGGTATCTTTCCAAAAGCCTAGTAAGAGGTGTGTGACAGCCCTGCTGTGTTCCTGCCTCACTGCCAGAGGTGATTGACTCCAGTGCAGCATTGGCAGATGGACTATCATAGAATGATAGAATGGTTTGGGATGGAAGGGACCCTAATGATCATCTCAACCCCCTTGCCATGGGCAGGGACATCTTCCACTAGACCAGTTTGCTCAAAGCCCCATCCAAACTAGCCTTGAATACTTCGGGAATGGGGTATCCACAACTTCTGTGGGCAACCTGTACCTAGGACCTCACCACCCTCACAGTAAAGACTTTTGTCCTGATATTTTATCTAAATCTACCTTGTTTCAGTTTAAAGCCATTTCTCCTTTCCTGTCATTGCGTACTTTCATATACTGCACCTCTAGGAATTGGAAGGCAGTAATAAGGTCCCCCCCGGAGCCTTCTCTTTTCCAGGCTGAACAACCCCAGCTATCTCAGCCTGTCCTCAAGGAGAGGTGCTCCAGCCCTCTGATCATCTTTGTGGCCCTCCTCTATACTTGCTCTAGCAGGTCCATGTCCTTCCTATTTTGGGGGACCCACTGAACGCAGTACTCCAGGTGGAGGGGCAGAATCACTTCCACCATCACTGTGAGATGGACTCTCCTCCTCTGCACAGTCAGCCACCTCTTGCAGGATGAGCTGAATAGCCCCCAAAAGCTGCTTCTCTTTTTGCTGACAGTAGAGGGAGCTTAGAAGACCAATGTAGCACTGATCCCAAACTTCTAGATTCCTAAAGCCAGGGGAGTGAATTCAGCACTACATATTTAACTGCTGTGCTCAGAGGAAAGAAAAAATGCGAGGACAGCGTTAATTGAAATTAAAAATAAGGTCTAATTCTCATAGAATTCAGTAGTAAAATATTAATTTCGCAGCTGGTTGATGAGATGTAAATCTCCAATGACCCTAGGTAAGGGTTTTTTCTTAAAAAACCATGCAGAATAAACCCACCTTGCAAACATCTATGAGGGTGAATAACACTATCCACTGGCATAGATTTACTTGCATCGAGAACTGTTTGCAGAACATGGCTTCAGGGTTAGATCCACAGTATAATTTGGCTTCTGCCTAGTTCCGTCTGGCTTCAAGAAGAGTTAGGTGCCTTAATTTCCCTGCATATGTGGTCATTTGAAATTTGTTTTGAAAAAATCTTTTTTCCACACACAGCTTTATAGAGCTAGGTATTATTTGCATTTATGCATCCAAAGTAATTGAATGTAAAATACTACATGTGTAGATGACTTAAGATAATGTTACACTTTGGAAGGTGTCTGCATTTAGTAAATTACTGCTTGATCATCTGTTTGGGCTGTCTTTTTGGAATGGTCTGCAAATATGGAGTTGGAACTTTTTCAGCCTCACTTCCTTATTAATATTATTTATACTTAAATATTTAATTTCACTTCTCTATGACTACTACTTGTATTATTTTTGTTTGCTATTCTTATTATCTTTCAACAGGATCCAATTGTCCCAGTGAGTACACTGACCTAGACTCCCAGAGTTCCCAAACCTGTTGTCTACACAGACAAAAAAAGCAGCTCATCTGACCCTAAACCAATCTCAGCAATCCCATGGCTTAAATTGTGTTCTCTGTGGTTCTGCTCCTTCAGATTTAATTGCTATTGTTATATATTTGCAAATTTTTTTCTTCATATGGATAATATTATTCCATTCTGTGTCCCCTTCATCATCCATAAATGGGGCTTTATGAATTGTTCCTTTTGAAATGAAAGATGGGGCTTGAAACCAGGTGTCATTTTGATGTAGTTATCTCAGTTTACAAAGTTGCTGTTTCCTGAGCAGAGTGTCCTTGCTCACGGTTCCAAGTCTCTCTACAATTCTGCTGTCAGCGTGGGTGCACTTGAGCACTCTTCCAAAGTCTCTGCTCTTGTCCCTTTCACATAAATCTTCCCAAAGCACTCAAGAGTAAATCTCCTTTCCCTGCATTTGCTTTCTTGAAAGTGAGTGACAGATTCCTCTGATACTGAGCGAGTAAAGTGCTTGCAGGGGATTTGCTTTCTGCTGTGAGCAGTCATGCAAGGAATTTACGGACACTGCTCAAGCCCTTGGCTGGAACATGTAGTCCTTAAAAACTTAATTTGTTCTTGGAGGAGAGGCTCTGACTCAACTCAGAGACGTTGCTCCAGAGAGGGGCTTAGATTCCTGAGCAGATATGTCTTGCCCCATCCATGGTGTGCGTTTGGTGGAACCCAAGGTTATGACTCGAGACTTTGTCTGGGCAGGGAAGAATGTCAGCCCTAGTGAAGAGGAGAGCAAAGACCATGGAAGTGATGGGGAATTGAGTCTGAGCTGACCACAGTGAATGTGCAGCCAGGCAAGGCAAGGAGGGAGCCCTATGGAAAGAGCCTGTTGACACCTGCAGTCCTGCTGTAGCTTCTTCTGTGTCTGTGGCCAGCTATGTCTCAGGTGTCTGGCACCAAGGAGACCTCATTTTTTCAACTCAGCATGAGCCCAGAGGGAGTCCTGACTCCAAGAAGGTCTGATGAAAAGCTGGTCTCACCTGTTGCTGCTTTACTTCATGTTAGCCATGAAAACAAGGTGTTTCTGCTGCTCCAAATCTTCATGAACCCATCATAAGGAGTGTTTTTTTTCCTGTCATACCAGTGTTGAAGCAACACTGGTAGGAACTTTAGGGCCACCTTACTCCAGTGTCCCTTCCTACTCCCTCTCTCCTATGGCTGCTGGTGATGCAGCTGACTGTACTGGTCCTTTTAGCGTTTTAGCGAGGAGTTTTTCTGGGATCTGTGATAGTGTTTAGTCAAACCAACCTAATTTGAACTTGCGTCATTTGCATGGAAGGAACACATTAATTTTTTTAAGGAAAACTGTTTGCAGTTGCCTAAAGCTTTGCAATTTTCCAAAATAATGATGTATACACTAAATGTAAGTATTCCTTTCTCCTACTTCACCTAATTTTTGTTTTACATTGTGTCAAATCATATGTGACAATAGGAACCGTTGTCAGGTTATGGAAGTATGTCTATATGGGCTTCTGTTTACTAAGTGATAAATTTTACACTGAAATACCAAAGAGCTGCAGTTCTGACCACTGTCCATTACATTATACGATTTATGTCCAGCAGTAACTTCCACCTTTTCCCCTGAGCCACCCCAGGTAGCCCATCTCTGTCATGCATCAGCTCAGATATCTCTGTATATGTTAATATGTTGGCCAAATAATCTGACCTCATGCATTTCTGTTGGTTTTGTTCTTTGCCTTAGCTTGGCTTTGGATCTTTCCTAGGGATTGTTGGCATCTACCTGGTAGAAAACAGAAGACAAATAGTAAGTAACAGCTCTTTCCAATTTATTTTTTTTTTAACAGAATGTAGTAAGCATGGAAAGTAGGGATTTTCAGCTGACTTAGAACTGCTGCATCTGCCTCAAAATGTTAGTAATTTTTTTTACCATTTCTGAGAAGTTTTAGAGAATGAGAAGTATGAATTGGCCAGGGACTTCATTTGTACAAAGCAAGACAAAACCAACTTGCTGTGTTTTACTGAATTTACTTTCCTGCTAGTTTAGTGAGTTGAATTGACCAAGGGCAGGATTAGATAAGGCCAGAGCTTGGCCAGGACTGTGTAGCTGGGAAAAGGATGGGTAGAGCGCAAAATACCAATCTGAGCATCAACAAGCTATATGATCAGCTCTGTCCTAACAGTTATCTCATCCTGCATAAGAAGTTTAAGTCAGGAACCCTTTCCTGAAACTGTATGTCTTAAATAGAAGGAAAAAACCCCAGAGCTCTTGCTGTCAAGATTCTTGGGCTGTGTCAGATAGGATCTGAGATACTGTGTGATTTGTGTGTAGCTTTCCAAATCTTTTGCTTCTATTTATGTAAGGAAGTCATAGAAAGTCTCTGGGGGGTAAAGGAAGGTGTCTGAAGAAGGATGAAGGAATTTGTGGAAATGCTTTACACTTTCCTTTCTCTTTGCAAAAAACAGAAGTCTTGATTTAATAACAGCATGTCCAATATGCACTTTACAGTAGACTGATAATATACAAGCATCATGAACTATGATTAATTTCATAATGCAGAAGTTTCACTAGTATAAATCAAGAGTGGTATTAAGGTCAGAGGAGAAACTGATGGATTTACTTTACATTTTATTAATAAGTAGCTATTTTACTTACAAGTAGTCTGTTGTCATTTCCTGTTTTGTTCTTAATAAAATGCAGTCATGTTCTCACTACTTGTAGGCAAATTTCTTTCATAATATCACTCTTTTTTTGCATTGCCTTTAAGTGTCAGTGGTGTATTTACAAGTATTTCTTTGCTTTTAACTTTTGTTTCTAGCTGGGTTTCCCAAAGGAATAAGGTTTATAAAGCAGTAACATTTGTCTGCGTCCTTCTCTGTTCCCTATTCCATTTTTTTAACATGTTGACCAATTTCAGGCAAATTCAGGAGGGTGGTAGAGTCTTCAGAGGTGTGCAGTTCCCTCAAGTTTTATGAAAATTCACAGGTGGGTAGAGGACAGAATTATGACTTAGTTCCCTCATGGTGGTAAAGCTTGCAATGTCAGCTCACCACTTATTAAACAGCAGAGAATCCAAATGGGACATGACCTATGAGACAAAAATCTGCAGCAGGTCAGTTTTTGAAGAACTATTGCCCCTGATTTCCACATTAGAGACCAGGATGAACAGCAGGTTCCAAGTTGCAGACTCAGTGGTGGGCAGATAAAAATAGCTTTATGTTCCACGGCATTCATGCTACCTTACTAACAGGCATAACATTTCAGGGTTGTTTTATTTTTTCATTTTCTTCTAATCTACCTTGTAGTGTTTGTATTGCTTCTGCCCTTAGCAGAAAGTAAAATGTCTGAAAAAGCTATAAGGTGGTTAAACCATGTATTTCTCATCATGTTGTGTCATTTACACAAGGACTGTGGAAAAATAATTGTCCTGCATGTTTGGTATTAGTGCCTGTTTGCATAGTCCTAGCATGGAACAAGGAAAACTTCTTTCTGCTAATAACACGTAGTTATGATTTGGCTGTTGAAAGATTGGATTTCTGGGGAACAGACTAAGAGAATAACTAGAAAGTTTAATTATGCTTCTTGCCTTGAGCACCATCCGCTGTGGGTCTTTTAACACTGTCTTTGCTGAGGCTGAGCTGTTTTTTCCAAATGTTGCAGAAATGAGATTGAAAGGATTTATGTCGTACTACAACAGAGAGCGGTAATTATTCCCTGGGACATAACAGTATATTTGATTGAAAGAGTTTAGGGCAGCTTAAAAACAAATTTGCAGCCATCAGTAAGATTGTAAAGCCTTGTATAAGTGCAGAAATGTAGCATAAATGTCATATTCCTGTAACTGAAAATTCTATAGTGCAGCAGGACAAAAGGGAGTGGGAGGAAAAGAAATTGTTTACTCAGTTGCTTGTATTTTATCTAGACTTCCTTTGAGCAGTTGCTGCAGTATAATTTGAGTTTAACCCAATATAGCTCTGACAATTGTCTGGCTCTTGTAATGACCCAATACTTCATTTTTTATTTGTTGTTCAAGTTGAAAAGGAATGCAGATTCAATTGAGCTAGGAAAAAACTCACCCTACTTTAAATTGACATTTCTACTTAAATCGGTTTCTCTTTTTGTCTTGAAATTCTATTTCCTTGTGATCTGTCCTCTGTAAATCCAGGTTCTTTCATGGTTGATAAAATGCTAAATGCAATATAAAATATATAATGATTAACAAAACTAGTACAACAAAACTTCAGCACTCAGTAACTGTTGAGCAGGGAGTTTGAGAAAGAACGAAAGCACAGTTAGGCAGAATGGACAATGGTTTGTTCTTAAAACAAGACATTAATAATACTGCACCTCTTTGACCTCATTCTTGGCATCCCAGGGCCCACAGTGGGAGCTCAATGTGCTGACCAAGGTATAGCACTTAATTCAAAGGAACTGCTGCTAGCAGAAGCAGGCTCTGCCTCATTGACTAGTATGATTTCACTTCAACTCTTAGCATTTGTACTTGGCTCTGCTATGCAAAGCCTGGCACCAGCTTAGACTAAAGATTTGCACTGACTTGGAATGTTTCTAAGTGGCAAACAGAAGGCATTGAAGAATAATGTGTAGCAGTCTCTTTTTGCCTCTCTTGTAACCTACAAAGCAGGTTATGGATTGAAGAGCAGCATATCAAGCTGTATGTTGTTTCATTGCAAAGGCACAGTTACTCCAGCTGCATAGGTGGAAATATAATACTGATCAAATCAAATGGATTTGATTGTAAGACATGAAGTGTCCTTGCTTGTTTGCTTGCTTTCCATCTCCTCACATTACAGTACAAAGTATTTCCAATCAGGAAATAAGATGCTGAAATTGCATACAGAGGTGGGGAAAGCTGAGTGTGCGGGGTTCATGGCAACAGAGTTGAGCTGAGAGCAGAAATTCATGCTCAGGGAGTGTTGTAACAGGTTTCTGCTCAGGAAATATGTGGAGGTGGCATGAGCTAGCACCTAGAAATGAAGCACTCTCTAAATGTGCAATGTCAATATGACACCATGCATGTAGTTTTAGCAAACCCAATGGATAAACCAAGCACCAGCTCGCAGTTTCACTCACAAGTCTTTCCAATGCCAGCCTCACCAAGCCGTACTGTTTGCAAGGCTGAAAATGAGCATACTGAAGGTGTGGTGCCTACAAGGGTGGTTGGGAGATGCAAGGGCACCATCATAGCAGTCAGGGCTTTGAATGTTTGCAATATCACAATGCTTCCTGCAAGAGCCCTCACTAGGGCCATGGGAGCCACACTGACAGCAGCAGAGCTATGGCAGAGAGCAGCACAGGCAGGGAGGGAGTGGGGGGAGGTACAGGAGCATAAAGGACACAGAGAGGATGGGGAGGGGTCATAGAATATGCTGAGTTGGAAGGCACCCATCAGGATCATCAAGTCCAGCTCCTGGCCCTGCACAGGACATCCCAAGAGTCACACCACAAGCCCAAGAGCATGGTCCAAACACTTCTTGAACTCAGACAAGCTTGGTGCTGTGTCCACTTCCTTGGGGAGGCTGTTCTAGTGCACAACCACCATCTGGGTGAAGAACTTTTTCCTGCTATCCAACCTACACCTCCCCCAGCTTCCAGGATTGACCCCTCATGAGATCTCAATTAACACAAACCTCAGTACTTAGGCACAACTTGGAGGCAGTTGTCTGCAGCAGGTCTGAGACCCAAATTCATCCACTGCTGAGTCTTCCTCATGCTAACAAACATTTAATTTTCTTGCTGACATGTCTAGCACATACTCAGATATAAATCTGATGCTTAGCTGGCTCAGTCTGGCCCATGACTTATTCAGAGAGATAGACAAAAGCAGAATTTGAAAACATGAGGAAGGTTAAAACATGGGGCTCTGCACACGGATAGAAAAGGCAAAGGTATTTATTCAGACCTCTCAAGGGATGCTAAGTTTAGGTACCTTAATATGCTTGCTTCCCAATCTCTGTGAACAGGAGTTAGATTTAAAAGGAAGTGTTGAAAAGCAACTAAAGCAGAAGTTGGAGAAACAAAGCAGTAATTTTCCTTTTTTTATCAGTTGATAGACTTCTCTGACAATGTTCCTTTCCTGTGTTCACATGTATGTGAGGTAGTATTTCGATATCATCTCTTGCCACCAGATTTGCATCTGTTTCAGAATAAAAGCATTTTTGAAGCAGTTACCTGTGTGAGCCAGTTCTCAGAAGAGCTAAACCTCTTTCACTTTTCAAAACTGATATATCTTGTAAATAGATTTTGTCAATCAGAAAATGCCTATTGGACATTTTGTGTAAAGTGGTGGCTATTAACATGTACACACAAAAAAATTAAATATTGCTATGTGTACCTAATCTGCTCAGTTCAAACCTATTTTGTTTCATCTACTTTTTCATGCAAATCAAACATTCTGGGAGAGACTGGCTGTAGTGCAGATTTTGGTCAAAGATGCTAATTACTGATAGATTTCTTATCACATATTAAACTAATTAAATCAACTTGTTTACAGAAAGACAGACCACTGAAATTCTGTAGATCTCCTGAGACTGTCTTTGATGTTCCTGTGCAAATAAATGGGAAAAGTCTTTGCTGATGTGCAGTGGAAATGCAGATAATATAGAGGCAATTTTTGTCATTACCAAGGTATAATTTCTGTTATGAACTCAAGATTCTGACAAATTCTTTCTTTCACTGTTGATTTTTTGTGTGCTCATATTTCACATAGTTCAGGAAAAAACAATTAATGGTGATGTAGAAATGATAATAATGGAACAAATTATCAATCCTCCGTGTCTTGTTTAACA